ATTCACGTGTTTCTTGAGTACTGCAATGAACACTACGTCGAATAGTAGGCCTTGTGCTTTTGGGCCGAATTCTTGTCGTTCCTAGGTCCAATAGTGTGTTGTCGATGCGGCCCAGTACAGATTTGCGTCTGTCGGCGCATAGTGCGTCATTTACGTTGCCCAGGAGGCATATCGAGCATTGAGACCATTCTTTGGAGGTGGTAGGGTTGAGTTGTGTACCCTGGGGTAACTCGGTCTTGAGGCGTGCGCATCCTTCCATCCCCCGAGGGTTGCGCAGCCAATAGTGTTCGTCCAGGAACGTTCCGTCTTCGGCTACTCTGGTTTAGTGCCGCTACAGTTATCTCTGCCTCAGCCGCCGTCACAGAGTAAGGTTTCCCTAACGTACTTCGAGGAAGTGTGGGGAAGGTCTTGCCGTTCCATTTCCTCAGATGGTGAGCTGTCTTCGTGTCGCTCATCTACCATGTCCAAAGTACGTGGTGGGTAATAGTCTTCTTTGTCGGAAGATTGTGGCGGACGGGGTTTGGATTCCCGGTGCTCCGCCTATTTGGTCTGTTCGATGGGCATCTTGCCCTTGACCTTAGTGGCAGGGGGGCTGGAGCCCTTCCCTTGCCGTTTTGACTTGAAGGCTTGTGGGCCTGAGGTCTCCATCAAGCGGTGTGGGGTAGAGTTCATAACAGAACCTTCTCCACTGAGGCCGTTACTGTGGCGTTTATCATTGCCTAGAAATCTTGGGAACGTTGAGAGTGTCCACCATGACTCGTTCCCGTCCTGTTGGGAGATAGTGTGAGGGTCAGCACGTAGGGGTGTTAGACTCCTGGTAGAACTGGGGATCACCCAGGTAAAACGGTTTGAATTGCCTGCTTTAGTATGTCTGAGAGTATGAATACTCGTGCCAAGTGTAGAGGGGTCACCTCTATTAGTTTAATCTGGCTACTGAGAGCCGTGGTGCAGGCGCGACTGACTGGTAGTGGTGTCGGTCTGGCTAGCCGGGTTCACCACAAATGTACGCCAGAGCTGTATGCACGGTTTTTAACTATACAGGCTTATTATATAGGCGCATGGGGCCTGTCTCCATAAGGTCTGCAGCCGCAGGACCCATGTCTATTAGGCTGGGTTCATCCCAGGTGGTGTGCCATGGTAACCCAGAGGACACCCATATTATAATTATTGGCACCTTACAAGCATTGCATGCATATCTGGGGGTCATCCCAGGTGGTGTGCCATGAAAAATTACCCAGAGGACACCCACGTTCAATATGTACACTAGGCACAGTAAATATACATATATGTATCCCTGTGAAGGGTACACCGCAATACACTCAGTTTTCTTAGTGATCCTGCCGTCAAATCGCATCCGGCATGGTACTGTTGCTTTAATGTAAAACTGACAGGCAGTGTTTAACCCCTTAAGGACACATGAGATGTGTGACATGTCATGATTCCCTTTTATTCCAAAAGTTTGGTCCTTAAGGGGTTAAACATCCATATATGTCTGTAGTAATCAGTGGTAAAGTTGAGGCGTAGGCCTCCATGCATATGATCGGGGTTCACCCCGGGTGGTGTGCCATGGTAACCCAGAGGACACCCACATCAAAGGTAATGGTCTGTCAGTGACCTTGCATGCATATCTGGGGGGTCACCCCAGGTGGTGTGCCATGAAAAAATACCCAGAGGACACCCACATAAATTTGCACCGTCAGGTACAGTAATATAATATGACCCTCTGTAGGGTACAATAATATAATATGCCCTTTGTAGGGTACAGTAACACAATATGCCCTTTGTAGGGTACAGTGATATAGTTGATCTTGTTATAGGTACAGTATATGTTTTGTATAACGACTGTGATATTGTATGGCTTCACAATAATACATAGATTGTGTGCCTGCTCAACATATAATCATCCAGTGTACGGCACCATGAGAGATATATCCATGAGAATAAAAAATAATAATTGTATATAAATGAATGTGCCCAGAGAGGGGGACCCCTGAAGGGGTTAATCCAGATGCAGGGCGCGGTGATCGGGTGATTCCTGTAGGGTATAGTAATATAGTATGACCCTGTGCAGGGTATAGTAATATGGTATGACCCTGTATAGGGTATAGACCCTGAGTAAGGTACAAAGACATAATCTCCTTTAATGCCTGCATGTAAGTATTGTTTGGCAGACACTGTTGGCAGGCACTGTGGCAAAATACATCGAAAGAATACATGGAGAAAAAACTGAAATCCAGCTTGCACTCTCCCATTGTTCACTTGGGAGAGCATACACTTGTGGAGCCCGGCGGTCGGGTGAGTTCCCGATCCGCCGAGCGAGCAGGGAAGGCGGCCGTCGGGTATCTCGCGAGCCGCGAGATCCAAGATGGCCGCTGCCCACATGTGAAGGTGCGCCGCGGATCGCGGTCGCGCGGTGCAAAACAAAGGGGATAAATGCAACACAAACGCTGACCCCAGCCTCCCTCCACCCGTCCCCATACAGTCCCCTGTGTAAGTGAAGGGCCGGTCCGCGAGGCGAGCGCGACACGGGTAGTCGTTGCGCCCGCGGATACCAGGCAGTAAGGTGGAAATAAAAAGGGGGAAAAAACAGAGGGATACAGTGAAGGGACAGGAATAAGGGGGGCCAAGGTAGCAGGTGTTAGCAATAAATAGAGTAATATATAGTGGTATGACAATCAAAAAACAGTGTAAATTAAGAATCTACCAGAGAGGTAAAATACTCTGACCTGATGTATGGCTGGAGCAGCAAAGAAAGAGGAAGTGATGTCGTAGACAGGGCCTTTTATGGGCATCATAACTTTTTTCTGATTGGTTGTTATGTTTCTATGCTGCTGGAGTTTTCAGTAAAGAAAGATATGCAAATATGAAGCCTCCTGTCATGTGGTAAAATTGTGTATCACATAGCCTGTTAAACTGTGTAATCTGTTGGCAGTCTAGTAAATGATAGCATTTTCTAGTGATTCAGTCAAGCTGCATGATGTACCAACAGCCTTGAAGTGCTCCTTTCTCTACCATGACACAGTTTTTTCCCTTACCAGCTGGCCAGAGATTCCTCCTGCATGATCAGGTCACAGCTGTTGGCTGTAATGCAAATTCTACACTGACAGAATTGCCATTCTAATCAGTTCAAAGATCCCTCTGCATATCATTAAAGTGTTTTAACTTACCAATAAAACATAATAATCAATGCTCTTTCAACATTAGTCTCGCTGCCATAAAAAGTTAAACAATTTTCAAAAAAATATTTTTTTTAGTTTTGACCTTTTGCATGAGCTGAAAGTAGATTATCAATTAAATAAATAAATATTAAAAAAAAATTGACAACCAAGGCATCTGTTTAAAGCAAAATTTTCTGAATAAAGAGTTAATGTTGATGTTCCAATCTGTGCAATTTTGACCTTGGAGAGTTATTAGAAACTTCTGTTGTGCTTTCAGTAACAGAATATTATCATTCATAATAAAGAAAGGGAAATTATCGTTAATTTAACCTGTCTTTTTTGCTTGAAGCTTGATAATGGATGTAAGAAGTTTTTTTATACCTCCCAATATTAGGAGGTATGAGATCGGGAATGGTGTGTCCCTGACGGGGCATCCCCAGTGATACATGTAGCATCCCAGGTGAAGTCTATAATGTGACAGCCCAGGTGAAGCCCATAATAGACGGGCCTGCCAAGAAAAGGTCCACCTACTGAATGGATGTGTCAGCCTGGAGTACCAGGAAACAAACCACCCCGCACTTTGGTTCCACCTATCGATTCAGCCACTCTCCCTGGAGGCGCTCCGCACGAACGGACACCACCAATCTGGCCCAGCACCAAGAAGAACAGAAAAACAGGCAGCACTCCAGGAAAGTGCATTATTAAGGCTCTAAGGAGCCGAATTATTGCACTACTGAGTTCAATTACACGCTGCTCTAGGCTCTGAAAGGGTTAGGCCTGTTAGTGAATATCAGTGTTGGCATAACTTTACTGTAATGCAGTTTTAACCCATATGCTGTTTAATGAATCAAGGTGTATGTGTCTGCTTTTTTATGCATGTCAAATGGAATAGAAGGAGCCTTGGTACTGGTACTTATCTGCACTAGAATCAGTGGCGTATATACCGAAGTCACAGGGGTCGCAGTTGCGACCGGTCCCGTCACTCCATTGGGCCCGGCCGCCCTGCGGACCCCTGCAACTGGGTGCCTGGCGCCATGTGTTGCTGTGCCGGCCCACACGGCAAACCTCCAGAGCCGCACGTTCAAGGGGCCCATCGGGATGACCCATGCTGTTAGGGCCACTCGATGGAGATGCATTTCCAAGGGGCCCCGGTCAGCGCTGCAGCGCTTTAACAGTGCGAACGTGCCCGCTGTGATGACAGTGTATGTATATCTGTGTGTGCATGTGTGTGTCTCTGTATGTATGTGTGTGTGTCTGTTTGTATGTATGTATGTGGGCCTGTCTGTATCTATGTGTGTGTCTGTCTGTGTGTCTGTGTGTATATGTCTGTCTGTGTGTATTTATGTGTCTCTGTATATGTGTGTGTGTGTCTCTATGTATGTATGTGTCTGTATGTATGTGTCTGTGTGTAAGTATATGTCTCTGTGTGTATGTATCTCTCAGGGGGTGGGGGGGGCCATAGATCAGTTTTGCACCGGGGCCCCGTGGATTGTGTGTACGCCACTGACTAGAATGGTTCCTGCAGCTCTACAGCTGTGATAAAGCACAACAGAAGTAAAAAGTAAGCTTATGATAATATTTTACAGTGGCTGATATCCCCAGAAGGAAAATATAACCTCCAAGACAGCCCATTTCCATGTGAAGTATTTAAACATTTTAAAGAAAACATTTCGGCACTGTTACTGAGTAGCTGCTATCTGCAATGTAAGATAAGAATTATTTGCTTAAGTGGTCCTGTATTTGATCTGTACAAGGTGTTAAGAATTAGCAACAGTAAAGATCAACTTTAAGTAGCTGTAAAACATATCACCATAGAGAGGGGAGGAAAGTAACAGAAAATCAACTTAGAGAAGAAAGAGAGGAAGGGGATGGAGGGAGAAAGTGCTGGATGTAAAAATGCACTTTCTCCCTCTATCCCCTTCCTCTAACATCCAAATGGATGTTAAATGCAGGTAGTTTTAAAAATTAGTTTAGTTACACATAACCAATGTTCTGCAACTGAGCTGTAAACGCCAAATTTTCCTTCTGGGTGATGTGTGATTCCTTTCTTTCCGAAATGTGTCAAAAGGAAAATGTATATAGTAAAATATTGTTTAAATAAACACCATACACAAACAGTGTTTTCCTCTCGGTCTCTCAATCTTTTGTGTGTTCTCTAAACCTAAAGTTGTAGAGAACTAACAAGGGAATGGCACAAAGTAGCCAAACTGGAATATATCCAAGTTTGGGGTGTTTTTTCCAGATGTTTCTGTTTTGTCTTAGAGTTTGCAATTCCTTTTTTAAAGTCCAACACATCTGATTTAGTGAATAAGCCCCTGTGTTTTTCCATATGACTCTACTCAATATACTGTCTGTTGCAAATCAGAACTGGTGTGCAGTGAAGTTTCTAATTTAGAACCCAAAAAATGATCTCATTAATGAAAACATTTTATTTAAGAAGGCTTAAGCAATCATTCTCCACATTACGTTGTCTTGTCATATTATAGAAGATCAATGCAGTGACAAAAATACGTGTCATGTTTCTATAATGCATGCATTTATGTTCAATCTATGTGGGCACAGCTGTAAATTATTTTGTTATGCAAAATTAATTTGCACCATTATGCAAGCAAAACGAGACTCTGGCATTGATACAGATACTGTCACTACTGGGAAACCAACCCACAAATGCGTATGGGGCAACGAGCCAGTGCATTGATTTCATCTAATATGTGCCGCCACATGTCCTTTCTTCGCGCATTGCTATAAGTTCTTCAGATTGGCCAAATATCTGAATTGCTATCAAGCTTTAGCCTCATTTATGTAGAATGCATTTCGGAAGAGGATAGCCTTTGGTATTCTCTCTGCCTTTTAAAATAATGCCGAGCTTGAAAAGGTCTAAAATATTAAGTACATTGTATTTATCTGTCTTACGGAAAAGTATTTTATATCTCTATATCTAAGGGCATTTTGCTGTTTAGCAATTAAATACAACACATTCTAAATTCACTACATTTTGCTCTTTAGTAATTAAACATCATATGCCATAAACAGAATTAAATCATAGATTTAAGGGAACAAATGTTCTCAGTGAGCAGTTCAGAGGTTTTTCTAGGATGTATTTAAACTAGGAGGGGGGGGGGGCAAAAGGGTGATAAAACATCAATCCAATTGTCCCCCAAAACAAGGACAGAAGGTGCCTGTAGCAAGTGTGTTAAAAAATTATAAGCTTAGAGTCATGTCTACAAATGCTCGCAGTTTAGGGAAAAGATCCATGAATTTGTGGCAATAATGGCAACTGATAGTGTAGATTTAGTCGCTGTTACTGAGACATGGTACAATGAGAAAAATGACTGGGACATAGCAATACCAGGGTACTCTTTATATAGGAAAGATAGGGAAGGCAAGAAAGGGGGAGGGGTGGCCTTGTATGTGAAGGATAGCATAAAATCTAGCCTAATAAAAGTTAGTGAGACAAACATAGAGTCCGTTTGGGCTACGTTAGAATTTGGTAATTACACAGTAACTCGTGTAGGTGTGATTTATAGGCCCCCAGGACAAATTGAAGAGTTAGATAATCTACTAGTTGAGGAAATAGCTAAAATGACAATGAAGGGGGAAGTTATCATCATGGGTGACTTTAATCTTCCTGATGTAAATTGGAAAACAAAATTAGCTACTTGTGCCAGGAGCACACATATTCTAAACTCACTACTGGGATTGTCTCTAAAACAAGTTGTTGAAGAGCCAACTCGTAAAGAGGCCATACTAGATTTAGTGTTAACAAATGGAGATTTGGTATCAGATATTACTGTAGGTGAAAGTTTAGGATCCAGTGATCATCAGTCAGTGTGGTTTAATATAAGAACAGTGACTGAGTCACACCACACAAAAACAAAAGTTTTAGACTTTAGAAAAACAGACTTTTCTAAAATTAGAATATGTGTAGAGGAATCATTATCAGATTGGAGCAATTTAAATGGAGTCCAAGAGAAATGGGATTATTTAAAAGTTGCACTATTAAAGGCAACAGAAAATTGCATTAGGCTTGTCAGTAAAAGCATAAAATTCAGGAAACCACTGTGGTACTCCGCAGATGTGGCCAAAATAGTTAAAAACAAAAAGTTAGCATTTAGGCATTATAAAAAAAACCAGAGTGAGGAAGACAAAATGATCTATAAGATTAGGCAGAAGGAGGCTAAGCAAGTTATAAGAGCTTCCAAATCACACACAGAAGAGAAAATAGCACAGTCAGTAAAAAAGGGGGACAAAACATTTTTTAGATACATAAATGAGAAAATAAAAATAAAACAAGGATTAGTTAGATTAAAAACAAAAGAAGGAAGGTATGTAGAAGAGGATAAAGGTCTAGCTGACTGCCTCAATGAATATTTTTGTTCTGTATTTACAGATGAAAATTAAGGATAAGGACCTCAGTTGAGAAAAAGGATAAATGAGTCATTTATTACACGTGAGTTTACAGAGGAAGAGGTTCTATTTCAACTGTCAAAAGTAAAGACAAATAAGTCAATGGGACCTGATGGAATACACCCAAAGCTATTAAAAGAGCTTAGTGGTGTACTAGCAAAACCATTAACAGATTTATTCAACCAATCATTAACAGGAGTAGTCCCAGAAGATTGGAAGTTAGCGAATGTTGTGCCCATTTACAAGAAAGGTAATAGGGAGGAGTCGGGCAACTATAGGCCAGTAAGCCTTACTTCAGTAGTGGGGAAAGTGATGGAAACCATGTTAAAGGATAGGATTGTTGAACATCTAAAAACACATGGATTTCTCACTGTTGCCAAAATTACAATACCTATTCCGCACGCTGCAAATCCCTATACCTAGGCAATATATGGTCAAACTACAAAAAATCATCACGAGATTCGTGTGGGCGAACAAAACACCCAGAGTGGCTTACTCTACAATAAAAAGAACAACGGAGAGGGGGGGTATGAGCTTCCCAGACGTCAAACTGTACTACAAGGCGGCCATTCTAGCAGCGCTAGCCACGACACACAGGGCAGATAACCCACCACAATGGGTAGCCATTGAATCCCAATGGACGTGTAGAGCAGGGATGCACCACTTGTTTTGGGTGCCAAAACACCTAAGGCCAACAACACCGACCATGCTAGAGACCACCAAACTAATGCTGCATACCTGGGACACATATAGAACGCACCTCAGCGGCTCAGGAACCACGTCGCTAGCATCGACAATGTATAGTATCCACCTGAGGAACAAAACATTTGACTATCGGACTTGGACGAATGCAGGGTGTACACACATACACGACTTATACAAGGGTACATCCCTAAAACAGTTCCCGGACCTACAAACACAGTACAACCTACCGAGTAAAGCAATTTTCTCATACTTGCAGCTCAAGTCCACCCTACGGCAACCCAAGACTCCACCTATGACACCCATGATCTCAAACTTTGACACGTGGTGCCTCACGGGCAAGCCACACAGACGAAGCATTTCAAAAATATATAGCACATTGCTTGAGGGCACTCACGCATCCACAGACAACTTTATACAGGCATGGCACAAAGACCTTGGCAGCACCTTCACGGAGGCCCAATGGTCCACAATCCACAAGGGCAACACAGCCTGCATTACACACTTTGAACAAGTGAGAAAACTGCAATACAGGTGGTATTTGGTCCCCACACGGCTAGCACACATGTTCCCGAACATGTCTACTCAGTGCTGGAGATGCCAGCTAGACACAGGCTCACTAATACATATTTGGTGGACATGTAAAGACGTGCAACCCTACTGGGCCATGGTGAGCACCATCGTGGACCAACTGCTTCCTGCAAAGATGACCCTGACCCCGGCTACATGCCTCTTATACATATGGCCAGAAGGCCTGACCAAGGTCCACTCCAAACTCCTATTCCACACGCTGATAGCAGCATGTAACCTAATAGCAAAAAACTGGAAATCACGGAACATCCCCACAAAAACGGAGCTAGTTACCCAGATCCAAAAGAATTGGGAATATGAACGCATGGCGGCCCAACAATTGGGGACGGGAGTAGCAACTATGGAGGCGGGGAAAATTTGGGAACAATACTGGAACAAGGTGAAGTCCCAAACAACTGGGGATGAGTAAGATTCTTTAGCCTCACCAACGCAATCTGAGAGGGTATACCCCGGGAAACAGTGGAAAGAGGCCGGTGATGAGAGATCAAACAGGTACAGCGAACCCTTCTCAAAAGAAACCAGGTAGATGTACCACATACAGACGAGACAAACAACCCACCAGTGTGTGTATATATTTAAGCTAACTCCCCTCATACCCCTCCCCCCCCGGGTGAGCACCTGGACCCCCCCCACTCCCCCCCCACCACCTCCTTCTGTCCAACTCATTGACATAGGCCACACGGTAAAAAGGCACGACAACGAGCGCAGGACAGGCTGGTAAACATGTGGACACCTCCGGGCTGAGGTGCATGGATAGCGCCCCGCCGACACTGTTTAAACTATCCAAACTACGGCTGTACTAAATAAAGTGGGATATAATGACCGTTGGAAATACACACGGTACCAACTAACCCCACCCCATCATAACCCACATTTGTTGTCTGTGATTCCCATCCCCACCTTTGCAACACTAATGGTATACTAGGTAACTTCAGCCAGACCGGCATCTGGAGATACATGTTAAAGAGCCAAAACAATAAGCTGGTTATACAGAAAGGCCGGACAAGGTTGTAGTCATGTTTATAAATACTAATAACCTGTGTAATGTATAAAGTGAAAATGTTGTATAAAGTATAATGTCATGAGTGGAACCTTTGTTATTCCACCCTGCCCCATTCATCCCCCCCCCCCCTCATTATTTTTTGTATCCCTTCCCCCCCCCCTTTTTTCTATACGGAAAATAAAAATTGTCAAATTGAAAAAAAAATAAAAACACATGGATTTCAAGATCAGAAACAACATGGATTTACTTCAGGGAGAGCATGCAAAACTAATCTTATTGATTTTTTTGATTGGGTAACTAAAATTATAGATCAGGGTGGTGCAGTAGACATTGCTTACCTAGATTTCAGTAAGGCTTTTGACACTGTTGCACATAGAAGGCTTATCAATAAACTGCAATCTTTAAGTTTGGATTCCAATATTGTTGAATGGGTAAGGCAGTGGCTGAGTGACAGGCAACAGAGGGTTGTAGTTAATGGAATATATTGAAGCTTGGACTTGTCAACAGTGGGGTACCTCAGGGATCTGTACTTGGACCCATTCTCTTTAATATTTTTATTAGTGATATTGCAGAAGGTCTTGATGGTAAGGTATGTCTTTTTGCTGATGATACTAAGATATGTAACAGGGTTGATGTTCCAGGAGGGATAAGCCAAATGGCAAATGATTTAGGTAAACTAGAAAAATGGTCAGAATTGTGGCAACTGACATTTAATGTGGATAAGTGCAAGATAATGCATCTTAGACGTAAAAACCCAATGGCAGAGTATAGAATATTTGATAGAGTCCTAACCTCAACAATTGAGGAAAGGGATTTAGGGGTGATTATTTCTGATGACTTAATGGTAGGCAGACAATGTAATAGAGCAGCAGGAAATGCTAACAGAATGCTTGGTTGTATAGTGTAATAAACGTTTAACTCGCAAGTTGGAATAAACTTGGAATTAATAATAACATTAATAACTAAAAATAATAACTTAAAAACCGAGTGTAAAGTCAGAGTCTACACTCCTTGCTTTCGGCAATTCAATAATATTTATTAATAAAGGCTTAATCAAACAAATAAACAATACATATACATTTGAAATAGGCTAGTATATGTTGCCACTAAAACTAACTATGACTGAATGGAAAGTAGGCTAAATTAACATAGTAGAACAGGCATAGACACGTGATACAGTTACCACTCCATTGATCGTCAGCTGAGAGTAAGAGAGAGAGGGTGTGTATAGTGGGGAGAGGGGAGAGAGGAGAGAGAAGGTGAAGAGAGGTAATTCAAAGAGAGAAAATGTGCTATTCACAGGGCTTTAAACAGGTTAGCCCCTCCTTCTGCTGGACACACCTCCATCAGTCAATCCCTTAGGATGTAACAGAACCAGAGTGCCTCCTGGGGGAAGGGGTATTGCATTGGAAGGGAATGGAGGAGGAGTTTATCAACAACCCAACTGGTTTTGCCTGGTGAAAGGCCATGTGCTTCACAGAGGACTCCATTATTGCCTAAGGGTAGAATGGGGGCTTGAATCCCTGTATTAGAACACAATAACACTTCATTGACATACAGTTTGGCTGTTAATCACATCCCCCCACTTATTACATATAGGGAGAGGTATTAGCAGTAGGAAGAGGGAAGTGCTCATGACATTGTACAGAACACTGGTGAGACCTCACTTGGAGTATTGTACACAGTACTGGAGACCGTATCTTCAGAAGGATATTGATACCTTAGAGAGGGTTCAGAGAAGGGCTACTAAACTGGTTCATGGATTGCGGGATAAAACTTACCAGGAAAGGTTAAAGGATCTCAACATGTATAGCTTGGAGGAAAGACGAGACAGGGGGGATATGATAGAAACATTTAAATATATAAAGGGAATCAACACAGTAAAGGAGGAGACTATATTTAAAAGAAGAAAAACTACCACAACAAGAGGACATAGTCTTAAATTAGAGGGACAAAGGTTTAAAAATAATATCAGGAAGTATTACTTTACTGAGAGGGTAGTGGATGCATGGAATAGCCTTCCAGCTGAAAAGGTAGAGGTTAACACAGTAAAGGAGTTTGAGCATGCGTGGGATAGTCATAAGACCATCCTAACTATAAGATAAGGCTAGGGACTAATGAAAGTATTTAGAAAATTATCTGCCGTCACATTCTATGTTTCTACAAATCCCAGCACGTTTCCAGACAAGTCTCATTAATCACATTACTGGGCAAACCTCTCAGGAGTGAGGCTGCCTGAGAATGCTCTCTGATTGGATGGTATTGCAGTGCGCGTTAACCAATCAAAGTCTTCTGAAGGTTTTTTAAACTGGCGGTGACTAATGAAAGACTCTGCTTCTTAAAAATCTTTCTTTCTTGCTCCCTCCACCAAATAGGCTGGAGAGACTGGAATATATTTTGCAGAGGTTTTTTGACAGTTTTTGCGATCAGGCAGCAGCGGAACTATAACCAATACAGCCAGTGCGGCTGCACCAGGGCCCACAAGCTGGGAGGGCTCATCTGAAAACATGCAAGTATTTAATAATGCATTTTTCAATGGAGGTATATCAGGAAAAAGCCATAGATGAAGATCTTTTTTAACTGATTCATTTACAAACCCTCCTCTTCTATCTCAGCACTGACTTTCTGTGGCTGTCCAAGGACAGACTTCCCAATGAGCAATTGCCTGCCACTTAATGTTAGCTGCACTGAGCTAAACAAACAGCAATTAATAGGATCTCTTGACTGGTTGACAGACAGGGGGTGTGTTACAAGGTTAATTTATAAAAGTGCCAATTTATATTGAAATCTGTGTTTTATTGTAAAATGAAAAAATAAAAGGAAACGCTCTTCACACATAAAGCATAAATGGTTAATTTACTGCAAATGCATACATTTGCAGTATTACAAACTCCTTCTGTTAGGTAGAGACAAACTAATAAATCAGATAGACATTTATTTAAACAAGTCCCACTGGGCACTAAGAAAATAGAAGACAAACCTTTAAAGGCAGCTTTAAAATTAAAGGATCACTATAGTGTCAGGAAAACAAACTCGTTTTCCTGACACTATATAATCCTTAGGGTCCCCCCACCCTCAGGGCCCCCCTCCCGCTGGGCTGAAGGGTTTAAAACCCCTTCAGCGCCGGGCTCCCTCTGCGCTGGTAACCTCTCCTCCCCCTCCGACGTCAGCTCCCGACTGGAGCCGAATGCGCGCGCACTAAAAACTCCCATAGGAAAGCATTTCTCAATGCTTTCCTATGGACGTTCTGCACACTGAATGCGATTTTCGCATTCAACGTGGCAGAAGCGCCTCTAGCGGCTGTCAGGAAGATAGAGGGTTAAAACCTGGGGGACCTGGCACCCAGACCACTTCATTGAGCTGGAGTGATCTGGGTGACTATAGTGGTCCTTTAAGGACATGAAATATCCAGGTATGACTGTGTTAGTATTGTGTTTGTTAGTGTCAGCTGGGCATAAATCCCTGCAGTAGTGTGATGGTCGTTTTGAATACTGTATAGCAGGTGTGGGCAACTTTTGTTACTTCGATGTTGTGGACTACATCTCCCTTGATGCTTTGCCAGCATTATGGCTGCATGAGCATTATGGAAGATGTAGTCCACAACTTCTGGAATCTGGAAGAAATCTAAATGTAAAATCTAAAACTCTTTATCCTGCAACAGGGTGCCTCCATTTTAGGTTCCCGTCAATCATTGTTATAAGTGCTCTCCTTTCTACCTGACAGTCAGCATAAAGGCAGTGTGACGGAACTCATGTACTCCGACCAAGTACCTCCACCCAATCCATTTCCTAGCCGTTGGGGCAGGAGCCTGGAACGCTTCAGCCCCAGCTGATGATGCTGACTGGGGTCTTTCTGAAACTCTTTTACCCAACCAGACTCTTCTCACAGACAGGTTTGGTCCCCTCTGCCTTTCCTCTGCAGCTTTCCTTCCAGGCAGGTTTCATCCCCCATGCTAATTCCTCTGCAGCTCTGCTTATAGCGCTTGTTAATGCCTTAATAAGGGCACTTGTGGCTCTCAGGATTGGCTCTCTTAAGTTATCCCAGGGATAGAGGAAACATGCAGTCAGCCAACAGGTTCAAAGACTCTGTTACTGGGATCCCTAAAATCCACACAGGACACAGTTTCAAAAGGAACTAACATGCAATAATTTATTTTAACTCGGGACTACCACATATGTTCATTACATTTATATTGCTGTGGCACCTTCAATATACTACACATAACCAAATCACAGCAGACAACATACAGCAACTTATTACAACACAATGACATATTTATAAAAGGGTGGGGAAGACAATAATTAATACAAAATATCTCTCCTGCCTGCAGAATTAGCAATATGCAAATGTACCCAAATATGAAAATTAATAAGCCTTGCTATTGCGGTAGTGCATCTAGCTGTTGCTACCAATAGAGGGCGCTATACAGGCTCCATAGCCAAATCCACCTAGTTGCTAGCAAGCATCAGCAGGCCTATAACAATTAACAATAAATACATAATACACACCCTGCACCTGTAATGGGCACAAGGTGACTTAGACATTGGAGTAGTCCAGGGTCCTACATAAAGTGTTCATCTGAAACTCCTGGTGATGGTGATTACCAGGGCCGGATTAACATAGGGGCTGATGGAGCTGCAGCTCCAGGCCCAAGCCCATGGAATAGGCACATTGATTTAATTTTTTTTTTTTTAAATCAATGGGCCTATTCCATGGGCTGGGGAAGCAGCTCTGCACAGAGTCCAGACAGCAGCCCCGAGCCTGCAGAGACAGCCAAAGCTCAGGTAAGTGGGGGGAAAGGCTGCAGGGAGACATGGAGACACAGACACTAGGGGACACTGAGACACTAGGGGACACAGTGAGACATGGGGACACTGAGACACTAGGGGGCACTGGGAGACCTGGGGACACAGACAATAGGGGAAACTGAGAGACTTGGGGACACTGGGAAACATAGGGATACTTGGTGACACTGAGACACCAGGGGGCACTTGGAGACTTGGGGACACTGAGACACTAGGGGAAACTGTGAGACTTGGGGACACTGGGAGATATAGGGACACTGGGGAACATAGGGACCCTGGGGAACATAGGGACCCTGAGACACTAGGGACACAGTGGCCCCATGTCTCCCAAGGGACCCTAGTCTCCCAAAGTCCCCTAGTTTTCCAGTGTCCCAATGTCTCCCAATGTCCCCATGTCTCTCAGTGTCCCCTAGTATAAAAGAAAAAAATCTCAGGCACTCACTGTGATAGATTTAAGCAGGTTTATTGGACACCGCAATGCTTCGACCTGGACCCAGGTCTTTATCAAGTCTCCAGTGCCCCCTATGTATCAGAGTGTCTCAGTGCCCCACGTCTCACAGTGTCCCAATGTTTCCCAGTGCCCCCAAGTGTCTCAGTGTCCCCTAGTATAAAAGAAAAAATCTCAGGCACTCACTGTGATAGATTTAAGCAGGTTTATTGGACACTGCAACATTTTGACCTGTACCCAGGTCTTTATCAATTCTCCAGTGTCATCTATATATCACAGTGTCCCCTATATATCACAGTGTCCCTATGTATCACAGTGTCTCATTGCCCCATGTCTCCCAGTGTCCCCTTGTGTCTCCAAGTCGCCCAGTGTCTCCATGTCTCCCAGTGTCCCCAAGTGTCTCAGTGTCCCCAGGTCTCCCAGTGTTCCCTAGTATCTCAGTGTCCCCATGTCTCCCAGTGTCCCCATGTCTCTCAATGTCCCCTAGTGTCCTAGTAACACTTTGAGACATGGGGACACAGACACTAAGGGACTGGGAGACATGGGGACACAGACATGCCCCCTTTTGGGGTATGTTCACCCCTTTCGGCAGTTCTGGTTATGTGATTTGCGTCAGTGGCCCACCCTTTTATCACATCCATAGACTTCCTGCTTTACTGGACACTGCAGTTAGTGGGTATGGATTTACTTGAAAGATGAAAGCGTGAGATTAGTGTAGGGTATGTGTTTTCTCATAGCTGCATCCTATGAGTTTCCCTGCAGCACCATCTCCATCAGATAGATCACGCTTGGGAGGTAGGACTGTTTTAGTGTTTTTGGTCAATAAGATGTTGTAATTAGGCCCCTCATAATTGTCAGCACCAGGCCCACTGGGCTCTTAATCTGGCCCTGGTGATTACCATCACAGGCAGTATACAGAGAAGATGAGAATTGTAAAAATGTTTTTAGTTCTCTTTAATTGCAATGTTTACCCTAGCTTTGCCTTGTCAGAATTGTATTATGATGTAATTTGCTAAATCTGTAATATAATTTTATTTTTAAATAGAGCTTTTTATTAAAAAGCTTAACACGAATTATAGATACTTTTTACTCTTTTATTCCAGAGAAGAAACAGTTTCTCTTTAATACATTGCTGTAGCCATTGACCAACACACAACTGTGCTTCTCTGTGTTTATTACAAATAAAACTCCTGGCCTTACCTTGGCCATGGAAATCGGTCACATCTATTATTAAAGGACCACTATAGGCACCCAGACCACTTCAGCCTCATGAAGTGGTCTGGGTGCCTGGTCCATCTAGGATTAACACTTGCTGCTGTAAACATAGCAGTTTCAGAGAAACTGCTATGTTTACCTACAGGCTAAACCATCCTCTAGTGGCTGTCTCATTGACAGCCGCTAGAGGCACTTCCGTGAGAAGATGCCAGCGTCCATAGGAAAACATTGAGAATGCTTTCCTATGAGACTGGCTGAATGCCTGCGCGGATGACGGGGAAAGGAGACGGAGAGTCTCCAGCACCGAGGGAGCCCGGCGCTGGAGAAAGGTAAGGAGTGGGACCCTGAGGGTGGGGGCACCCTCAGGGCACTATAGTGCCAGGAAAACAAGAATGTTTTCCTGGCACTATAGTGGTCTTTCAAGTTAGTATTAGACTGTGGTACTTGACCTGGCGTCTAATATACATAGCTATTAGGTCTGTTTCTTGAACCAAAATACTCTTCAGAGTGTGCAAGGCATTTTCTTGCATGTGTATGTTGTGTTGGATTTGGGAGGGAAACGTTCCAATGATTAATTTGTAACCTACTAAATATAACACTCACTCCACACTTTTAATTGAAATTTGCAAATGGGATTTCCCTTTTAAAGATACATTTCCGCAGCTGTGCAGTTCACTGGATGCCAGAGTAAATTGGTGATTTTGTGAATCCCCAGTGAATAATATTATTTGCTTACCAGGAATTAATATTTTGAAGCATTGCTTCATAGTGACCATGTGTTGTCATAAAAACTAATGAATACATAGTATCATTTTTATGCAAGGAACTATGTATTAAAAGCCATACATTACCCTGCAGTTACTTAAATTTTTATATTTGCAAATGAGTACATCTAAAATAATAGACACATAAAACATATCTTCTTATATCCCTTCCTAATTTCAGTTATATCTTATGTCCCATTCTCTCCTCTTCCTTTCCCATTCAGTCATATCTTTTTTCCCCTTCCTTCTTTCCCTTTGTATCTCCCTCTCCACAATCCAGCAATTGTAGAATATGGGTAGCTTGACATGGATGCTGGATTTATTACAAGCTTGGGGCTTTGGGTTAGCATAGAAATGAGGGCAAAGGATTTAGGTGCCTTTTTTTCGACTCCTGTACTGATTGTGCCATTTTGCATCTCTGTGGGGCAGTCGACCAGCAGTGGAGCTGCAGTAAATTAAGTTGTCTCCAATAGTTGCCTCGCCCCTTAACATGCCAGGAATCCCAAGACTGGAGACTACATTATATTTGTACACTGCCATCTATAGATTTGTACAAAAAAGATGGAAGTTAAATCTCTGTGTTGTCTCAGTGGTAACAGAGGGGCCAGGCTGTCGATCCTGGAAAAGCAGTGTTTCTTCAAACCACTTTAAAGTTTTTTTAGAAAATTGGAGAGGCTACACCCAAAGATTGCTTGTAGCATAAAAGCTAACATAAGCTGTATTGGTTATAGGAATAGGGATTTATGTGTCGAAATCAATCGTGTGTCTTTAAGAACCTGCTGAAAATAAATTAAATTAAGACTTTAAATATTCAAATTAAATATTTAAATGGAGTAGGCAGACTTGCCTGTGCCCACACACTACTTTCCCGAATATAAATGTCTTTTAAATATAGAATGTCAGAGGATGTGCCATCCCAACAATACCACTTGCAAAAAAGGCTGAAATGTCAGACTATAATTTATTGAATGTATGAATTTCTGTTCCATGAAACTCGGCATTTTGAACTTGGTTTTTAATAAACATCAAATATATTAATCAATCAACATAGAGTGTTGATCTCTAAATTTGACACAAAATTGACTTAAATGAATACCCAACTGACAAACCTAAGCTAAATTACAAATTACAATCACATTTTGTTTATTGGACATCCATTCGTGCATTAATGAATAGCCCCTCTTTTATTTATCATTGGCACATAGTAAGCAAGATGCAATAACAAAAACACTCAGTACTCAAAAGGGATCGTAATGTAAAGTAATGATAAGTAAATAAATGCAATGCCAGTTTAGTGTCCTGCTATTTTCGATAATTTTTTCCAACATAACATATCAGCACGTATTTGTGATCTTGGGTTTAATGCAACTGCCACGTACATTAAACCTACGGAACCTGCCAGTTGTTGATCTTCCATCCACAGCCAAGAACCTAAGCAGCCGCCAGCCCTGGCTAATTAAATATCCGTGACTGACTGCCCACTGAACAGTCTGGCTCTGTTTAATTATATGTTCCCCTGCTGTGCCTGAACTTTGCAGTCTGCGCTGGGAAAAGCAGGCTTTCAGCACACCAGCAAGACGCACTGCCACATGCACGTGCTGCCTAGCATTGGCTGTTTTAAGGACAATGGGGAATAAGCTAATAGCACATTGTATGAGTCAGGGACTCAAAAGAAGGCTGCGTGCAGCGCTGAGCATAAGAATCTCAAAAACCTTGAGCTATGTGGATGCTGAGGGTCTTGGAACAAAACCAAAAGATGTGATTGAATCCCTAGACAGGTATACAGAAAGGAAACGCAAGCCATCTGACACAGAGTGAAGAGAGGCTACAAGATAAAGGGTCTGTCAAACAGGAGAGAATCATCTGAGAACAATACGAGACACATCTTCGCTACCTTGAGTAGTGTTCTGTGTTTTACAGAAGCAGAACTAGGAGGAGATAAATAATCTTTTTTAATACCAATCCACCGATGCCTATTATTTTTTTTGTAGCATATGGGTTTATTTTAAAAAGGATACACGGTTGTTTTGCAGTGTTGACTATGAAAGAAACATGCTAATTCAAGCCCCATTTTAAAGGTCGTAACCTATTAAAGGTATATTTTGTTCCTGACGCTTTGTATGCACTGACGCTTATGTCACTTAACAGTGAATTGTGATGTGGGTAGGGGTAAGAGTATATATATATATATACATATATATATATACACATATATAAATATATATATATATATACACATATATAAATATATATATATATATATATATACATATACACCAAAAAGATATTGGTAGCCAACACTCAAGGTCTTGTGAAAAAAGAAGGTTTTCTTTATTAATATGAAGATCCTACAGAAGGTCAACGTTTCAGTTCATATTAGAACATAGCCATGTCCTGATGAAAGTTCTAATATGAACTGAAACGTTGACCTTATGTAGGATCTTCATATCAATAAAAAAACCTTTTTTTACAAGACCTTGAGTGCTGGCTACCAATATCTTTTTGGTGTATGCTGTGCAGTCGATCACCGGGCAATAAGACTGGGAAGTTGGAGTGCAAAACCTACAAACTGTATATATATATATATATATATATATATATATATATATATATATATATACGCTTGTGTTGGACCATTTTTATTACTAGACAGATAAGAGATAATGCATTTAAGTATGCAAAAATCAATAAATTACAAATAATGAAAATATACTCACATTTGAATTTCTTGCATTTGCCGCAAACATCTTCAAGGGAACCAAACAAAACATAAAGGGACAACCTTTCATAACATACCATGCATCCCAAAGGGAGCACATGTTAAATAAGGCATTTTTTGTAGCCAAAATGATACACTATCACTGGGGAGGAAATTAGAGAAATGGGATATAAGATAGACAACTGTCACCTCATAACTATTTTTAATATAATAATCTCATCAAGTTTTGAAAGGAAATAGATTTTTTAATAAGTATATGAAAAAAAATAGAAACCCTCATCCTGACCTTTAGTATATGATGAGGAAAAATAGAAGAGAAGTCCAGGCACTCTCAGGATACTCTCAAGCTTGACAAAGACCGTGTAGGTCAAAACGTTGCAGTAGGTTCAATAAATTTGCCTTTTTGTATCCTGAGAGTGCCTTTGAATTTTTCCTCATCAAATACTTGATTCCTGGTACTGGGACTGGTCTGATGCACCAGAATGGGTTTGAGTGCAGTTCCACATTCCTGCTATATTATGACCTTTAGAATATGACAGAATCCTTCTGCCATATGCATGCACCTTGGGTCGGGCAGTGATTGAAAACCGACCATAGTCTCTATGGTCTTCCCTGCTTTTGAAACACTCACCCAAGGTCAAAAGCTACACTATCACAGCTGAGGGATCTTATATCTCTCACCCCCACTAGATTATCTGGGAAGGATTCTTTCTCTCTGTCCCATGCTGTTTACTACACCATTGCTGAAAATCTTCCAGCATTGCAGCATTCACAATGAGCTCCCACCAGGCCAGGAAGTAATAGAAACATAGAAACATAGAATGTGACGGCAGATAAGAACCATTCGGCCCATCTAGTCTGCCCAATTTTCTAAATACTTTCATTAGTCCCTAGCCTTATCTTATAGTTAGGATAGCCTTATGCCTATCCCACGCATGCTTAAACTCCTTTACTGTGTTAACCTCTACCACTTCAGCTGGAAGGCTATTCCATGCATCCACTACCCTCTCAGTAAAGTAATACTTCCTGATATTATTTTTAAACCTTTGTCCCTCTAATTTAAGACTATGTCCTCTTGTTGTGGTAGTTTTTCTTCTTTTAAATATAGTCTCCTCCTTTACTGTGTTGATTCCCTTTATATATTTAAATGTTTCTATCATATCCCCCCTGTCTCGTCTTTCCTCCAAGCTATACATGTTAAGATCCTTTAACCTTTCCTGGTAAGTTTTATCCCGCAATCCATGAACCAGTTTAGTAGCCCTTCTCTGAACCCTCTCTAAGGTATCAATATCCTTCTGAAGATACGGTCTCCAGTACTGTGTACAATACTCCAAGTGAGGTCTCACCAGTGTTCTGTACAATGGCATGAGCACTTCCCTCTTTCTACTGCTAATACCTCTCCCTATACAACCAAGCATTCTGCTAGCATTTCCTGCTGCTCTATTACATTGTCTGCCTACCTTTAAGTCATCAGAAATAATCACCCCTAAATCCCTTTCCTCATATGTTGAGGTTAGGACTCTATCAAATATTCTGTACTCTGCCCTTGGGTTTTTACGTCCAAGATGCATTATCTTGCACTTATCCACATTAAATGTCAGTTGCCACAATTCTGACCATTTTTCTAGTTTACCTAAATCATTTGTCATTTGGCTTATCCCTCCTGGAACATCAACCCTGTTACATATCTTAGTATCATCAGCAAAAAGACATACCTTACCATCAAGACCTTCTGCAATATCACTAATAAAAATATTAAAGAGAATGGGTCCAAGTACAGATCCCTGAGGTACCCCACTGGTGACAAGTCCAAGCTTCGAATATATTCCATTAACTACAACCCTCTGTTGCCTGTCACTCAGCCACTGCCTTACCCATTCAACAATATTTGAATCCAAACTTAAAGATTGCAGTTTATTGATAAGCCTTCTATGTGCAACAGTGTCAAAAGCCTTACTGAAATCTAGGTAAGCAATGTCTACTGCACCACCCTGATCTATAATTTTAGTTACCCAATCAAAAAAAAATCAATAAGATTAGTTTGGCATGATCTCCCTGAAGTAAACCCATGTTGTCTCTGATCTTGAAATCCATGTGTTTTTAGATGTTCATCAATCCTATCCTTTAACATGGTTTCCATCACTTTCCCCACTACTGAAGTAAGGCTTACTGGCCTATAGTTGCCCGACTCCTCCCTATTACCTTTCTTGTAAATGGGCACAACATTCGCTAACTTCCTATCTTCTGGGACTACTCCTGTTAATGATTGGTTAAATAAATCTGTTAATGGTTTTGCTAGTACACCACTAAGCTCTTTTAATAGCTTTGGGTGTATTCCATCAGGTCCCATTGAATTATTTGTCTTCACTTTTGACAGTTGAAATAGAACCTCTTCCTCTGTAAACTCACGTGTAATAAATGACTAATTTATCCTTTTTCTCAACTGAGGTCCAATCACAATGATCAAGTATCTTTCTATAGCAGCACTGTGTTTATTTCATAAGCAGTGCTTTATGTGTACAGTAGGTATTTCTGGGCGTTGTAGTTCAAATCCTAGAAATGGCAACACAGCTGGCTGGGAGAGAAAAGCAGAGCAAATGTATTAATGTATTAAAAGTGCATAACTATCTTTTTTTATATATAGAAGATTAAAAAAAAAAAAGATACCCAGACTCCTAGCTGTAATCTAACCTAGATGAGGTTGTCGAGTGCCCCATTAATGAATAGGAGTCAGTAAAACAGTCGGTTTTGCAGAAGACCCTGTAAGCCTACCACATACCTTTCTGCCTTCTACAAGATGGTCTCCAGAAATGCATATAAAGGCAAGCAAGATCAACCATGGCTACACTTGACAAACACGGCATCCCAGCACGTCATTTAAAAGAGGTATGTTTATATCTGGTGCACCTGCCCACGTCCAAATCAAGCACCTGCCCACGTCCAAATCAAGCAGTTCAGTTGAGTTGAGTGTACCAAAAGGTACTCGGAAGGAGTAAAATAACTTTAATGCCATATTTTTTTATTTTATTTTTTACAAATGTGGCTACCACAATGTGTACATGGCATTAGCAGTAACACAAAATAAAACATTGTCATGTTTGCTAATACAATGATCCTTTCACCAGTAATCTGCATTTGCACAGCTGGTTAATCCGTGCCTAATACTCTAATAATGGCAGGTCAGCTATAGGGGTGCAGCTGGCTAAATGTTTCCCCTTCAGATGATTCCCATACCACATCATAGTACCTGGTAATTGGAGGGGGCATACATCTAATAATCATTTTTTTTAAGGAGGTATAGGATGTCAGTGATCTTGGGTGTATCACAATACACAAACATGTCTGTAGATGGTCTATCATATTTAGTTGATCAGCTACACAAGGATGCCACATATCTAAGGGCTTGTTCGATGATGGATTTAGGCAGGTGACGTCCGATTTATTATAATGTTACATGGCTATAATGAATAAAAAAAACATAAGCAAATATATTTGTTTAATTATATGAATAGTTTTTTTTTATTTCACAATAAATCACAGATTTTTTTTCTCCCCTCGTAATAAAATTCTCGAATCTTATGATCCATCCACACATTAAGGCAGCACAAGCACTGCTAATTATGACCATGGATTCATAACAATGAGTCCGAGATTCAGATACAATTAACATATTCTTTACAAAGACTGCACTGTAGAATGGTAATAGAAGCAATTCCATTTTCACACCAGAAACCATAGGGTCTCACACTATGTACAGAATTTAGCAATTCACAGTGCGTTAGTGCACTCGCAGGGTTAAAGCAAAGCAGAACAACTGATCTCATTGTACAGTGTTGCAAGATATGTTGGCATTTTTATGAAAGGGAATAATATTAATGCTTTGAAACCTAGCT